TGCCTCGGGGCCGCCCCGTGCAGGGGGGTTCGAGCTCTCGGTGGTCCACTCCCTGGCGGGCGCGGCCTGCTCGGGCCCCCGCGCTGACCCTGGCGCCGACCATTCCTGGACATGATCGCCGGCGCCATTGCCTTTGCTGGCGCAGCCGAAAGCTTCGATGGCGGCAGTCTCGTCGGCGCAGCCTGGGTCGCCGGCGCCGGCGTCTTCGCCGGCGCGGCCGAGAGCTTCGATGTCGCCTTCCTCGTCGGCGCAGCCTGGATCACCGTCGCCATCTTTTCCGCCGCCCTCGTCGCCGCGGCTTCCCCCCGGCGACCGCCCTTGTGCCCCGCCCCAACGGCCGCCCTGATGACCTACCTTCGTTTTCGTCTGCGCAGCCTGGGCCGTCGTTGTCGACGTCCTAGCCTGCGCGGCCATGTGCTTCGACGGTTGCTTCTGCGTCGCGCCAGCGCCGACTCCGACGCCGACCCCGCGGCCCTGCCCCCCCGCCGCGCCCGGCAGTCCTCTCGGCGACGCCAGCCTTGGCGCCCTCCCCGACGGCTTCCCCACCGCCCCCCCTGGCTATCTACCTGGTGGTCCTCATTTCGCCCCGCCTCGCCCCCCTCCGGACTGCCCGCCTCGCCCGCGGTGGCGCGATTTGTGCCTCGAGCTGAGTGATGACGCCTCCGCGCCCGACTCCTCGGGTGAGCACGCAGGAGTTCCTCCGCGCCTTGTGTCGGGCGGCCTCGTTCCCGCGCCAGGGCCGCTGTCGGAGCTGTCGACGGATGCTTTCCGTTCTGCGACGCTCTGCTGCAGCCCGAGGGGCGCCCGCGGCCCCGTGTCCTCGCCGCGCGCGTAGGGCGCTCGCGCCGGGGGCTGTCCGCGGGGCCAGCGCGCCCTGGCGGAGATGGTTGCCTCTCGGTTCGCCGGCAAATCCGATGGCGCTGAGCCTCTGAGCGTCGGATCGCTTTTGGGGATTGCCCTGCGCCGAGGCCCCCTGCCTGGCGCCTCAGGAATTACCTCCGCGGTCATTGAGGGCCCTCCTCAGCCGCAGCTGGCGTCCGACGCCGCGCCGGTTGCAGTCCGTCGAGGGCGCCCGGCAGTTGCCTGGATCCGTCCATGGCTCACGGTCAGCAGCCTCCCTCGCCGCGGTCCAGAGCCACGCGTGCACCGGCGCGCCGGCCGTCCTACCGCCGCCCCAGATATTCAGCGTTGCAGCGCGAGCTTCAGTCCCGTTGCAAATGCCAGTGCTGCCGCCGTTTCCTGGCACGGCCGCCGCCGCCGCGGAGCTCGCAGCAAATGCCGGCGGAGCTCGTCCATCAGCTTGCGCGCCATCGAGGGTGGTTGGTCTATGCGGGCCCCGCGAGATGAACCGCTTGCCAGCAGTGCAGCGCAGGGGCCGCCATCCTGCCCATGGGCCAACTCGCGGTCCCCGAAGACCAGCGAAGCTTATGACTGGGCCCCCGACCGTGGCGAGAGGGGAACGCGGTGGGGCCATCCTGTCTCGCTATTTGCGCATCCGCATCATCATCATCATCGTCACCATCATCATCAGCATCATCGTCATCATCACCATCATCATCACCATCATCATCATCATCGTCATCATCATCATCATCATCATCGTGACCATCGTCATTAGCAACATCAGCAGCATCATCATCACCATCATCATCAGCATCATCAGCATCATCTTCATCGATCATCGTCATCATCATCATCATCATCATCGCGACCATCGTCATCATCGCCATCATCATCGTCGCCGTCCTCCTCCTTATCGTCGTCGCCATCGTGATCGCCAGCGCTATCACCATCATCATTTGCATCTTAATCGTCCTTCTCAGCATAATCGGCGTCATCATCATCATCGTCTGCATATCACCTGCTTCCCACTGTTCATCCGCATCCCCTCCTACCAATTAGTTTGTTATGATTGTTTCCCATTCCTATCTCATCGCTGTCTTGGTCATAATCTTCGGGTTCGCTCCTGTCCCATTCTCCTTCCGAACTGCTCTCTCATGTTTCAGCCGCGTCATGATCGAGCCATGCGTTCCCCGAGGAAGGGCCCCCGCTTGCCGGCGCAAGCTGATGGCGGACGAAGAACGCGCCGCGAGGAAGCGCGTGGTTACTTTCTTCGGGCAGCCGCGCGTGCGCCGCGCCATGGCGGCGGGAGCGCGCGCGGCCGCTCATCGGCTGCGCGCGGCAGCGGCGGCCTTCCGCAGCCGTGCGGACGAGGTTCGTGCCGTTCGGGGTCGAATCGTCTCCCTATGATCGGCGCCGTGCCGTGTCGAGCACTTTGTCGTTGGCCGTGCTTTGTCAGATGCTGTGCCGTGCGCGGTGCTGCCTGCCGCGCGGCGCGCCGCGCTGGAAGTCGCGCGGCGCGGGAACTTGCGGGGCCCCGCAGGGGGCGCCCCAACCGGCGCGCGCGGGCCGCCGACGAGGACAAGGACAGGGGCAAGGGCCTCGCAGGCGACGACAAAAACGTTTAGCAGGAGGCCAAGACGCGGGAAACAAGAACTGCTTACCTGGATTGGCAAGGGCGTGCAGCCTATAATTCGCGAGTGCGCTGGTTCGCGCCGCGCCGTGTACCCTGCCGTGCGCGTGCCGCGACGGGCCTTCAGGTGCCCTGTCGGGCGCCGTGGGTCGCGTCGCGCGCTGCGTCGCGCGCCTCGGATTGCGCGCTCCGCGGGGGGGGGGGGGGGGCGCGAGGGGGGGGCGAACGATGGGGGGCAAGGACATTAACGACAAGAGCGCGGAGCTCCGGCGAACAAGGGGCACCGTGACCAAGGCGTGGAAGACGCGCCGATGGCCACGCTCCGCGAGGTGGAGAACAGCTGGGGCTGAAGCGGCGCGGGCGCCCACCCTCGGGGCGGTCGTTCGGGCGTCCGAAAAAAGGATGCCCCCCGCGCAGGAACCTACGACTTTTTCGGGCATCCGTATGACGGATGCCCCCTTTCAAGCCCTCTTGGGCTGTCTTGGGGGCATCTTAGGCCGTTTTGTTGCCGTCTTGGGTGGGGCCATGCGAGGCATTCCTGGAGGCATCCTGGTGGCTTTGGTGGCCTGCTGGGGTCGTCTTGGAAGCCAGGTTTGGCATCTCCGATGGTGTGGAACGCGCTAGGGATGCAGGGGCGCGGCAGAACAGGCAAGTGCACGGCAGAACACGCAGAACACACAGGAGCACGGCAGAACAGGCAGGAGCACGGTGGGACACAGAAACAGGACGAGCACCGCAGAGCACGGCATAACAAGCAGGAGCGCGGCAGAACACACGCAGGAGCATGGCAGAACACATAGAGTCACTCCGTAGCCATTTTGGCTCAGGCCGTGCTCGGGCGCGCGCCGCGCGCGGGCGCTTGGGCAGAATGGTGCGGGAGGTGCTCGCCGGTGTCGCGGCGGCCCGCTGGGCGGCAGACAACCTGGTGAGACGGCTTGACAGGGGGCTGCGGGGGGCGAAGGAAGTCATCGCCAGCCTCCAGGCGCAGCTGGAGTGCGTTTCGCGCGGCGGCGCCGCGGGGGCGGAGGCCCTCCGCCGCGAAGCCATCGCGCGCCCCGCCTTGGTTGTGCGCGTCCGCGGACGCCGCGAAACCAGGGCGCAGCGGCTGCGGCGGAACGTCGCGTGGCATGCCGAGCGCTGCCCGTCGGCAGACGCCCCGCCGCAGGCATGGCGCAGGGCTCAACGCGGGCCGCGCCTCCCAGGGGGGCCCCTTCCTGGGGATGGGCGCGGCGGTGCGGCGCAGAGGGCCATCGTGTGTGAGGTGGGGACCTGCGTCTGCGAAGTGCAGCCGCCGATCGAGTGCGCATTGGATGCTTGAGTGGCCGAGGCGCCAGCGCAGCTGCCCAGCGCCCGCGTGGCGGCCGCGGGGGCCCCGCTGCGGTCTAGCGCCCAGCCGTGCCTCCCCGAGTGGCGCGCTGGGCAGCGCTGCTGGAGGGGCTCGGCGTGGCGCAGCTGGCCGAGCAGGGCTGCGGCGAGGGCGGCGCCGAGAGCATCGAGGCGGAGGAGATCATCGTGGAGGTCGGCTGCGAAGCCGAGGAGGATCGCGCTGCCGCGGCGCGTTGCTCGGCGTGGCGGCCGTGGCGGAGCGGGGACAACCTAGTGGGGGACTCGGGGTTCGAGGGGGGTTCTGAGTTCGAGGATCTCGGGTCCGAGCACGGGCAGTTCTTGCGTGGCGAGTTCTCGGGCGGCAGCGAGCTGGCCGAGCTGGCGCGCGCTGCCTGGCTGGAGCGCTCGAGCTCCAAACGCGGCGGTGGGGGCGAGCGGGCCGCGGAGTACGAGCCTGCGCGCGCTGCCTGGCTGGAGCGCACGGGCTCCAGGCGCGAGGGCGCTGAAAGCAGCCTCGAGGCCGATTCCCCTGGCGTGCGAGCGCTGGAGCGGCTGGCTGCGGCCAAGGCGGCCCAGGCGGCAGTTGCTCGAGGGGCTGCGGTTGCTCGAGGCTGCTGGGGGGGTTGCGGTTGCTCGAGGCGGCTCGGGTCTTCGGCCAGGCTGAGTGAGGCGTGCAGTTGCATTCTGTATGTAGATCTGGTCTCGCCTCGGTGGGGGGGTTGGGCGTCTGAGGGGGTTTGGCCCTTCCGCCTGCCCGGGCCCGAAGGGGCCGCCCCGTTTTGGTTTCCCAGGGGCTTCCCTTCTGCCCTTATGCCTTGAAGGCCCCGTCTTTAACTTTAACGCATCGGATCACTCATCCGTAGCCATTTTGGCTCAAGCCGTGCTCGGGCGCGCGCCGCGCGCGGGCGCTTGGGCAGAATGGTGCGGGGGGTGCTCGCCGGTGTCGCGGCGGCCCGCTGGGCGGCAGACAACCTGGTCAGACGGCTCGGCATGGGGCTGCGGGAGGCGAAGGAAGTCATCGCCAGCCCCCAAGCGCAGCTGGAGTGCGGATCGCGCGGCGACGCCGCGGAGGCGGAGGCCCTCCGCCGCGAAGCCATCGCGCGGCCCGCCTTGGTTGCGCGCGTCCGCGGACGCCGCGAAACCAGGGCGCAGCGGCAGCGGCGGAACGTTGCCTGGCATGCCGAGCGCTGCCCGTCGGCAGACGCCCCACCGCAGGAACGTCGCAGGGCTCAGCGCGGGCCGCGCCTCCCAGGAGGGCCCCTTCCTGGAGATGGGCGCGGCGGCGGTGCGGCGCGGAGTGCCATCGTGTGTGAGGTGGGGGCCTGCGTCTGCGAAGCGCAGCAGCCGATTGTGCTCGCTGTGGATGCCTGCGTGGCCGAGGCGCCAGCGCGGCTGCCCGGCGCCCGAGTGGCGGCCGCGGGGGCCCCGCTGCGGTCTGGGGCCCAGCCGTGCCTCCCCGAGTGGGCGCGCTGGGCCGCGCTGCTGGAGGGGCTCGGCGTGGCGCAGCTGGCCGTGCAGCGAGGACCTCGGGTCCAAGCGCGGGCAGCTCCTGCGTGACGAGTTCTCGGGCGGCAGCGAGCTGGCCGCGGAGTGCGAGCTGGCGCGCGCTGCCTGGCTGGAGCGCTCGGGCTCCAGGCGCGGTGGTGAGAGCGAGCCCGAGGAGGAGCTCGGCGCGCTGGCGCTCGCGGCCGACTGCTCCGAGGTAGGCCCCGAGGGGCTGCGCGAGTCCGAGGGGGGCAACGTGGTGCCCGTGCCGTGCGGGCTGCACGGCGACAGGCGTGCCAGCGAGCCGAGCGGGGCTGATCCTGCCGGGCTGGGGCAGGAGTGTGGGAGGAGCAAGCGGGCATCCTTCGCTCCGTGGCCCGACGTCGTCGACTTGGAGGTGGGGGCCCTGGGAGGCACGCTCGGGGGGGCAGGGGCCCTTCGGCGTTGCCCTGTCCCGCAGTGGGCGGGCCCAGCGTGGGCGAGCCAGGCGAATGCCGCCGACCTGGTGCACCTCTGCGAGTGCGAGAGGCTCGGCATCTCCGCGAGGCCTCGTCGGCGACCAGCCTGGAGAATGCGGTTTGCCAAAGGGCCTAGGCTGGTGCAGGCCCCTCCGCCAGGCATGTCCGTGGGGGGGCCCTCGAGCTCGAGGTGTTCTTTCGTATGTGCAAACCGAGCGGCGTCGCGCCGCTTGGCGGCGGCTCGAAGCACCGCGCGAAGGAGACGCCGCGGCCGCCGCCCGTGGCCGTCGTGGGGGTGCCCGTGGGTGGCTCGGCCATCGAGCGCGCCGTCGGCATGGGGCCGCCCCTGGTTGCGGACAGCGTCGACTGCGCCGCGGGCGATGGCCACTCGAGCTCGGAGGGCGTGGTCGTTTCATTCCTGGGCGGCTTCTCGGTGGCGGCGGTGGCGCGTGCGGCCAAGGGGCCGAAGTCGGGAGTTGAGTCTCTCCTGGACTTGGCCGAGGCCCGCGCCCTCGGAGTCTGCCTCGGAAGTGCAGGTTGTCCAGATGCCGAGGAGCGTCAGCGGCTCCTCGATGATCTTTTGGTCCGTGCGCGTTGCACGGCGCGGTCCAAGAGTGGAGAGTGAGGCAGGCAGTTGCATTCTGCATGTAGTTCTGTCCTCGCCTTGTGGAGCCGGCGCGGTGGGGGCCCGGAGCGGCCCCCCGCGGGGAGAGGCGGCCCTGGGCGGCCCCTCTCGGGAGGGAGTGTTTCATTTTTTTCTTTCGCCTTTAAGGCCCCGTCTTTAATTTTAACTTGAACACATGGGATCACGGCAGAACACACAACACATGTGAACACGGCAGAACAAGCAAGAGCTCGGTAACATATAGGAGCACGGCAGTACGCACAGGAGCACGGCAGAACACACTGGTGCACGGCAGAACTGGTGGCAGAACAGGCAGGAGCACGGCAAAACACACAGGAACACGGCAGATCACGCAGGATCACGAGGAGCACGTCAGAACACACAAATTTGCATAGGAGCACGGCAGAACACACAGGAGCATGACAGAACAAACAGGAGCGCGGCTGATCACGCAAAGCACAGAGGAGCACGGCAGAACAGGCAGGAGCGCGGCAGAACACATAGGAGTACGGCAGTACACACAGGAGCACGGCAAAGCACACAGGAACACGGCAGAACACACAGGAGCACGACATAACACATAGGAACACATCCGTAGCCATTTTGGCTCAAGCCGGCTCGGTTCAGGCTTGCTTGAGCGAGGGATGGCCACGGGAGGGGGCCCTCTGCGGTTCCCCCGCTCGCGGCGCGAGCGTGGCGATGCGGCGCGGCGCGCCCAGGCGGCTGCTGACGCGCTCATTTTCAAGCTGAAGAACAGGCTCGCGGAGGCGCAGCGCGAGCGCGCCCGTCTCCGCGACCTACTTGCGGGCCCTGCTGTTCCAGATGGCGTGGCCAGGGAGGTAGCGCGCCGCGAGCGCATTGCGCGCCCCGCCCTGTGCGCACTGGTGCAGGAGACCCCAGCTGCAGGTTGTGAAGTTCTTCGTCGTAATGTGGCCCTGCACGCCGCGGTATGCCCTGAGGAGTCTCTGACCCTCCGGCTGCAAGGCGCAAGGCGCAGCGGGGTCGGCGTCTCGCGCGCGGCAGCCGCCGTGCCTCCTGGAGGCGCTTGGCCTTTCCCCACAACGTCGATGCGCTGGACTTCGTGCCGTCCGCAGACTGCTGGGAGGCCCTGCCGCGCAACGGGGTCGCCGTCGACGACGTGGACTCCGTGGAGTCGTGCGACGCGGAGCTGGCTGCAGGTGCCGTGCCAGGGCCCCTGCGGGAGCCCCCGCGGGGGGCGACTGCCCCTGCGCTGCCGCGCCGTGCCGCGCGCGGCGGGCGCTGCGACTTGGAGGCGGGCATTCGATGCACGTGCAGGGCCGTGGTGTTCTCGGGCGTGGCGGTCGGCGCGCAGGCGGTTAGCAGGGCGCTGACAGTGCCTAACGTCATCAGCCGCCACGCCGCGGTCGGCACGTGCGAGGAGAGCGCTCTGCGGCAGGTCAGCGACGGCATCCAGTGCGACGTTTACTTTGTCGAGGGCGTGGGGAAGCAGATGGGGCTCTGGGGCCAGAACGACCCGTCCATTCGTGCGGCGCCGCGCTCGGGTGGACGCGGCGAGTTCGGGAGCTGGCGCGCCGCCGCTTCCGCAGCTCGAGGAGCGTGGCGGGGCCGAGTCCCGAGCCGCCCTCGGAGTGCAGGAATCGCGGGAGGCGAGTGAGTGAGTGAGGTTGGCATGCAGTTGCATTCGTGTGTTCGTGTGTAGAGCTGTTTTGCCTGTGAGTGAAGACTCCTGTGTTCAGTCGCAGTCGAGTTCACGGTGGGCGGTGGCCCAAGGCGGCCCCGCTGGGAGTGCGAGGGGCGGCCGTAGGTGGCCCCTCTCGGATGGGTGGCCCTGCGGGGCCCCCGCGAGAGGCGGCCCTAGGCGGCCCCTCTCGGGTGAGCGTGTCTTTTGGCCTTTTGGCCCCACCACTCCGCCTTGAAGGCCCCGTCTTTCACTTTAACTTTAAAACATAGGAGCACGGCAGAGCAGGACCATGGCATAATGCACAGGAGCACGGTAGAACACACAGGAGCACGGCAGAACACGCAGGAGCGTGGAAAAACACATAGAATATCTATTCATACAGCCGCACCCACAGCCACAAGCACATGGGTACATGCACGCAGGCACACGCACACGCACGCGCACGCACGCAGACACATACACACGCACACAGACCGCATAAACACGGCAGAGCAGCACGGCATCACACAGCAGTGCCGCAAACCACCGCGCACGGACACACATGCACATAGATTCTACGCACGCACGCGCGCGCGCAAACGCAGGCACGCCACGACAAATCTGCATGACAGCCCAACAAAATAGCATATTTCACATACCTAGTGGAAAGAAGCGAAGTTTCCCGTTCTTGTCCGGTCAGGTTCTACCGCGCCTCCAGCGTGCCAGGGGGCACGGTGGCGGATTTCTTCATGTGCGCGCAGACATGGAGTTGTGCAGACCCGCATGTTCATGTATTCTGTTGTTCTGGATGACGCGTCCGTACACGGGTATGCGGCCTCTATGCGAGCGTACACATCGCATATATATATATATATATATATTATATATATATATATATATATATGTATGTATGTATGCATGTATGCATGTATGCATGTATGCATGCATGTATGTATGTATGTATGTATGTATGTATGTATTATGTATGTATGTATGTAGTATGTATGTATGTATGTATGTATGTATGTATGTATATATATATATATATATCAATATCGTAGCAGCAGTCGCGACGTTGCGAATACCCACCCTGTCGAGCTTCTGCCGGGTCCGTCTCCTGATGCCGCTCGCCTCCATCTTGCTTGTCTGGCCAGGTGGCTCCCGCGGGCGCCGCGGGCGTCGCGGCAGCGGCCTCGCCCCTGAGACCGGTCGCGCCTTTTGCTGCGCGCAGGAAAGTGAGGACGCTGAGGGGCAGGAGGACGTACAGGAGGCGGTGGAGGTGGAGGTGGAGGTGGAGGTGCAGGTGCAGGAGGAGGAGGAGGAGGAGGAGGAGGAGGAGGAGGAGGAGGAGGGAGGAGGAGGGAGGAGGAGGAGGAGGAGGAGGAGGAGGAGGGAGGGGGGCACGGAGGAGGAGGGAAAAGGAGGACGAGGAGGAGGGCGAGGAGGCAACGCCCTCAGTCCCGAGCTCGGGACGAGACCGCCGCCAGTTAGAGCGTCATGAGGAGGATGAGATGGGCCTGGCCAGAGAGGCTCCGCTCAGTCTAGCCGACCTCTGGGCTGGCAGAGGGGCTCTGCTCAGACAGGAAGGTCCAAGGGCTGCTCACGCGGGGGTCAGCGGCCAGGAGGGCAGCGGCGGCCAGAGGGTAGGCCTTCTCTCCCTTCTTGCCTCTCCTTCCCTCCCCCCCGTCTGCGCGTCCTCGCCATTTCCCTCCCTAGGTCTCCCTCCCTCTCCATCTCCATCTCCATCTTCCCTCCCTCCCTCCCTGCTTTCGCCTTCCCCCTCCTTGATCCTCGATCCCTTATCCCTGATTCATCCTCCCTCCCTTCGTGCACCACAAGCATCGGCTACGAGTGCGTGTCCAATCAAGCCTTCCTCGCCCCTACGTGAAGCGTGAAGCAAAAGAAAATACCCCCCCCCCTTCGGCCCTCCTTCCTGTGCTGCTGGCTGCTGCGGTCGTTCCTCTCCCGCTTGCCCTGTCAGGCCCTCTGGCTGCCAGCTCCTTCCTCCTCCTCCTCCTCCTCCTCCTCCTCCTCCTCATCATAATCATCATCATCATCATCATCATCATCATCATCATCATCATCATCATCATCATCATCATCATCATCATCATCATCATCATCATCATCATCATCATCATCATCATCATCATCATCATCATCATCATCTTGAACGCTGTGGACTTTGGCATCTCCATGAGACGCAGCCTGCCTCCTCCTCCTCCTCCTTCTCTGCCTCCCCCTCCGTCGCCTCCTCCTGCATCCCTTCTCTTTTTATATATATATATATATATATATATCTCTATAACTCCCTGTCGCACCCTGTGGTTTTCATGCGTATGTCAGCCTGTCCTCCTCCTTCGCCTCCGTCCCACCTCCCTCTTGTGCCGCCGTTGTGGCTCACAAGGGCCCTTGAGTCATCTGGCGCGCAGGCGACGGGCGCGCCCTGGTCTCCTTAAAACGAAAGAGAACGTGTTCTCTTATAGCACGGGCCCCCTACTTGTACTTCGTGTCTCTGTGCGTTCCAGACAGTTGCCCCTGTGCATTCCACAGTGGTAGCGGAGCGCGTGGTTCCGATCCACGAGGGGAATCAGGCTGACTCTTGCCACCCGACCCTCGGGTGACCCAATGGGGTTGTCAAGACCCCCTCGGGCACCCCAGTGGTCCCTGCATGGCATGTTTATTTAGGTGGTCTTCGAAACGCAGACGCCACCGCCAAGCCAGAGCTAACGCGGCGCCTCGGAGAGGCACGCGGCGTGTTTACATCGTTACAGCGTTGTTGGTCACACGCCAACATGACGAGATCTAGGAAGCTCGAGCTGTACAGTGCGATTGTGCTTCCAAAGCTTTTACACAATTTAGAAACACTGTGGCTTTTAAAAGCAGACAAAGATTAGACAGTTTCAATGTGCAGTGTTTCAGGCGTATTTGCCGCATTCCACATACATATTTGTCGAGAGTGTCCAACAACCAAGTTTTGAACATATGTCGAGCCCGCCCTCTCAGTGAGGCGCTTTGTGAGAGACAGACTTCGCTATACAACAATATCGCAGGGTTGTCACAAGACCACCCGCTGCGAGTTCTCACCTGCTTGCCCGGATCATATTTACCTCGGGTCTGGGACCAATGCCAGAAGAGAGGCCGACCGAAGCAACAGTGGGCTTCGTGTGTTTACAAGCTTCTGCCACAACAGTGGTCCTGAGGTGGTCTCTCCCCCTTCTCCGTTCCCTCCTCCCTCCGCCCCCCCCCTTCCTCCCCCTCCTCCCGCGTGGCGCCGATACGTTTGCAGGTGAATTCGTATCCTTCTCACTGCCCGCATTTCTCTGCCACACGCATAAGTTTTGATCTTGCCAATGCGACGTCTGTGCGCCAGGCTTGACTGACTGACTGGGGCGAGAGCACGATTCGTGAATGAATTGTGGAGTCTTGGGCGAAACGACTGCCGCACCGGCTGCCGGAACGGCTGCCGCACCAGGCGGTCTCGGGCTCCCCGCCCCCCCCGTGGGCTTCTTCCGGTAGAACCTGTCAGCGAACCTGACAAAGAAGCCTGCCCCCTCCTTCCTGCTGCTGCCCGCGCCCTTCCCCTCGGGCGTGGCCCGAACTGGGGGCCTCTATGGCCGGCCCGCGCGGCCGCCCCGCCGAGGTCCTGCCGCCTGGCTGGAGCCGGACGGTCCGCAGCCCGCTGGGGGGCTCTCGGAGGGAGGGGTGGGGGGTTCTTTGTTCCGCATCGCTCCACCGATCGCTCCATTGGTCCGTGGCACCCCAGCTCCACCAGCCCACCTTCCCAGGTGGGGGTAGGTCCCGCGAGACCCGAAGAACCATGCATGGATCCCCACCTGCGTGGGTCAGTCGGCCAGCGGGGACAGGGGTCGTTGGTAAAAAATATTCGGTGCTTAGCTTGGCGGCGCGCCGGGGGGGGAAGTGAAGGAGGCGGGGCTTCTCAGAAGCTTCCAGGTCTTCTGAGAAATCCTCCGTGCTTCGGGAGAAGGCTTAGAAGGTTTTTGAGAAGTTTGAAGACCTTTTGAGGCCCACCTCCTCTGCCCGCTCTGCCTTTACCCCTGGGCGTGCCGCAGATTTGCATATTCTTTTGTTTGTTTGTTTGTTTATTGAATTGTTTGTTTGGTTGTTTGTTTATTTGTTTGTTTGGTTGTTTGTTTATTTGTTTGTTTGGTTTGTTGTTGAACATTATTACTTCTAAAGAATAAGTATTGTTGGGACCCCTGGTGCACGACCCCCCCGCCGCGCCTAGGCCGCAGCGTCATTTTCATCATTTTCGTGAGGAAGTCTCAGGCAAAACGGGTTGGTCCGGATCCGGTTGTGTTGTTACGATCGGTTTTCCCTTGCAAGAAATAAGTTAAAGTGGACATTTCTTGTTCTAACATAACCAAACTTCAAGAATCCCTTGCAACAAATAAGGTAAAGTGGACATTCGCGCGCGCAAGACGAAATCCTTCCAAAACCTTAGTTTTCGTAGCGATTTTAACATAAAAACATCAAAAAACCAATGGTTTTTCAAAAAAAAAGTTGTCAAAATTTCATCCCGCGCGCTCTTGCGGATTCGTAGGAAACCCAACACTTTTTTTAATCATTTCTGTCAAACGGGCTTTTGCGAGCAACTTTTTCGAACTTCTGCAACAACGGTTGCGCACCTGCCAGGGCCATCATCCCTGTCAAATAATACCATGCGGGACACATTCGTTTTTTCTTCGCGCGCGCACGCCGTCGTCGTCGGCCGCGGGGCCCTGAATAGTAGCCACGGTCGTCCGCATGCCACGAAGTGAAGTGTCCGAACGTCATAGGGCGGGAAGCTGGGTGTGGGTGGTGGCGAAGAGTCGTTTGGAAATTTGGTAGAGCTTGAACCGGCCCCCCCACAAAGTGGGGGTATTGCCCGCCTCCTATGAAAACCCTGGCACTGGTGAGAACGGAGTGTCCCCACGTGTTAGTAATTGTTGTTGTTGTTGTTGTTGTTGTTGTTGTTGTTGTTGTTGTTGTTGTTGTTGTTGAGCTCTCATTCTTAAAGCATAATTAGTGTTGTTCCCCCCCACCAGTGCACATTGATTTGTCAATTGAAGTGCACCCCCCCGGGGCTCGCACTTTGTTTTTTGTCAAGGAAAGTCTTCCTGCTCAAACTGGCCCCTTGGCCCCCGGGTTACAACAACAACGGCTCCCGCCTGAGACTTCCTCACAATTTAGCCAGGACCCCCGCTCCCGCCCGACACTTCCTCGCATTTTATTCAAGAATCGCGCTCTCGCTTGGGACTTCCTGGTGATTTATTCAGGAATCGCTCCTCTTGCGCTCTGGAGTCGCGCTCTCGCTGGAGACTTGCTTGCAACTACTGAAGAATAGCGCCCTTGCGTTGGAATTTCTTGCAATTTACTCCAGCGCCGCGCTCCCGACACCCAGGCACCCAGGAGTCGCGCTCACGCTTAGGACTCCTTCACAGATTACCCAGCAACCGGGATCTCGCTGCCCTTCGTGGCCCCGTTGCAGCCCTTCGTGGCCCCCTCGCTTTGTTTCGTGGCCCCGTCGCAGCCCTTCGTGGCCCCCTCACTTTGTTTCGTGGCCCCGTTGCAACCCCTCGTGGCCCCGTTGCAGCCTTTCGTGGCCCCGTTGCAGCCCTTCGTGGCCCCCTCGCTGCCCTTCGTGGCCCCGTTGCAGCGCTTCGTGGCCCCCCTCGTTTTTTTTTCGTGGCCCCATATATGTATGCCCTTCGTGGCCCCCGCTCGTTCGCGCCCGTGGTGGCCCCATATGCATGCCCTTCGTGGCCCCGCTGTCGCCCTTCGTGGCCCCCTCGCTGCCCTTCGTGTCCCCGTTGCTGCTCTCACTGGCCCCGTCCGTACCCTCCGCGGCCCAACATACGAATGTCCCTCGTGGCCCCGCTCGTTCGCGCCCGTTGTGGCCCCATGTGCATGCCCTTCGTGGCCCCGCTGTCGCCGTTTGTGGCCCCCTCTTTGTCCTACGTGGCCCAGGTGCTACCCTCAGTGGCCCCATCGTTGCCTTTTGTGGCCCCGCATTATCTGCCCTTCGTGGCCCACGCTCGTTCGCGCTCTTAGTGGCCCCATACGCATTCCCTTCGTGTCCCCGCTGTCGCCCTTCGTGGCCCACTTCGTGTCCTTCGTGGCTCTGCTGTCGTTCTCTCTCGCTCTCGCTTTCGCTCGTCGTCGTCGTCGCCGTCGCCGTCGTTGCCGTCGTCGTCGACGTCGTCGTCGTCGTCGTCGTGGTCGGTCCCCTGTCCGTCCCTCTTGGGGTCGGGTCGACGGTCCGCGGCCGCCCCGCCGATCAGCGCTGCCGCTGGCCAGGCCGACGGTCCGCGGCCGCCCCGCCGCTTGCCGGGGCCCGGCCTGCAGGGAAGAAAGATATACCCCCAAAAAGGGGTTCGATCGAAGACGAGTATCGAGGGTTTGGGAAATTTGCGTTATTCGACACTCGAGCAGATAAGGGCGAACAGTCTTAAAATGATTGTTGTTGTTGTTGTTGTTGTTGTTGCTGCTGCTGCTGTTGTTGTTGTTGTTGTTGTGGTTGTGGTTGTTGTTGTTGTTGTTGTTGTTGTTGTTGTTGTTGTTGTTGTTGTTGTTGTTGTTGTTGTTGTTGTTGTTGTTGTTGCTGTTGTTTTTGTTGTTGTTTTTGTTGCTGTTGTTGTTGTTGGCGTTGTTTTTGTTGTTGCTGTAGACTCGGTGATGCGCAGACATGGATTCAGGCGCGTGGATTGGCGGCGGGCCCCGTTTCGGTACAACAAATCGGCGTGTACCTTCGGCAACTCGGACGGCACCGGCTTCGTGTTTCGGGGCGGGGCGTATTTTCACCCCGTGCCCACGCGACAGATCCACGTAGCCGTAGTCCGTGCCACCGGGTGCCTGATCAATGGGGGTGTTTTCTCGTTCGCCGACCTGTGCTTGACGTGGTTTCGGCGCGGATTCGGCGCGGGGTCGACGTGGATTCGACGCGGCTCTGACGCGCTCGGCATGGCTTCGACGCGGAGTCGACGCAGGTAGCCGCGCGCTGGGATGGGCGAGGTCTCTGGAGCATGTCCCTGCTCACCAGAGCACCCCAGCCCAACCCGAAGGTCCCAGACCCCGCCAAACCTCGCGTTGGGGGGTGCACGGGTTCCATCGTGCTTCCTCAATGGTGTGCCCCCCCCACCGGAAACTGACGATGCCAACGGTGACTTCGGGTCGGGTTGGGGTGGCTTGGTAGGTCGTCAGCATGCGACATCAGGGAGGCGGGGAGCCCGCCCCCTGCCCAGGGGGAGGTGGACATCGATCGAGGTGGCAGGTGGGAAGAGTCCAGAGACGAAGCGCCTCAGCATGGCGTTATTCAAGCATGGTGGTGCACGACGGGGGCAGCGCCGCGACAACATCATTTGCATTCCCGAAGGGGAGGAGCGCATCCCCAGACACGGGCCGGGCTCATTCCCCCTCCCAGCCCGTTTTCGCAAAGCTATTTCTCTCGGAGGCAGCAAATACGTGTAAGCGGTGTGTTTCGATTTTGGGCACGCTTGAACTTCTATCAGTTAACGCGGGCCCCAAGCAGTAGGCTGATGTACCCAATATGTGCAATGCATGCGTTGCAGGCGAAGTCCTGCGTTCTGTGTATGGTGCAATCGATGTGTTGCAAGCCTTGTGATGCCATCAACGTGATGCATGGCCCTGATGTATGTAATTGATGCCTGTGCTTTACTGTACGTGTGCGGTTGATAGGTGTCACCAGCGCACGTATTAATTCATGCCATCTGTTTGTGCCATTGTTGTAGTCTGTTTGTGTATTTTAGTGTTACGCGTTCATTGTCCATTGGTGTGTGGTTTGTTTAAGACTGGCATGCGTGTCCTTATGTCGTGTTATTGATGTGCGTCGTGGTCTGCATCAGTGGTGAGGTTTGGTGCCGTTCTTCTTTTTCCAACCCGCCTGGGTTGGGTATTCGTTTTGAATAGAGCACTGCGGTCTCCACTTCTCCTTCTCCTTCTCCTCCCGCCTCCCGCCTCCCGCCTCCCGCCTCCCGCTCCCCCTCCCTGTCTCCTCGTGTCTTGTGCGTAATTGCCGCTCGTGTGTGCAAGTTGCCTGCGGTCTCCGACCTCGCCGACCCTGGGGGGCCGCGATCTGCGAAACTGTCGCCACTTTCGATGGCTGCTGGTTGGTCCAGCGGAGCGAGGCACCGCGCAGACCTGAGAGAGACCTCGCTGTCTCTGAGGGGCTGCGATCTGCGAAACTGTCGCCACTACCAAGGGCTGCTGGTGGGTCCAGTGGCCCCAGGAAGCCCCCAAGAGGCCCCAAGAGGCCCCCAAGAGGCCCCAAGAGGCCCCCAAGAAGCCCGAAAGAGGCTCCAAGAGGCCCCAAGACGGCACCTAAAAGGCTTCAAAACTCTTTCTAAGATGCCCCCGAAGACATGCCAAGAAGGTCCCATGACGACTTCAAGAAGCAGTCCAGGATGCTCCGAAGAGGCCCCAAGAGGCCCCCAAGAGAGCCCAAGAGGCCCCCAAGAGGCCCCCAAGCGGCCTCAAGCAGCATCCAGGAGGCCAGAAAGAGGCCCCCAAGAGCCCATCGGTCCAGGAGGGGGCCGAACGAACATTTCCAGCCCTGGGCTCCAGGAAGTCCAACAGGAAGCCCACGTAACTTGCAAGACCCTCCTCCCCCGACGCTCCCGAGACGCCCAAAAGGCTTCCAGACAGCCCAAG